GTTTTTGGTAAACTAATGCTGATTGTAGTTATTTATAATATGTACACAAACACAAAAACGCACGCATACACATGCACACACACGCACTCGTGAGTATAAACAGAATATAAAATGATATTTAATTGAACTTTAACTTTATTTTAACTTAACTTTAACATAACTTCAACTTAACTTTAACTTAACTTTAACTTAACTTTAACTTAACTTTAACTTAACTTTAACTAAACTTTAACTTAGCTTTAACTTAACTTTAACTTAAATTTTACTTAGCTTTAACTTAACTTTAACTTAGCTTTAACTTAGCTCTAACTTAACTTCAACTTTATTTTAACTTAACTTAACTTTAACTTAACTTTAACTTAATTTTAACTTAACTTTAACTAAACTTTAACTTAACTTCAACTTAACTTTAACTTAACTTTAACTTAACTTTAACTTAACTTTAACTTAACTTTAACTTAACTTTGACTTAACTTTAACAAAACTTCAACTTAACTTTAACTTAACTTAACTTTACTTTAACTTTAACTTAACTTCAACTCAACTTCAACTTAACTTTAACTTAACTTTAACTTAACTTTAACTTAACTTTAACTTAACTTTAACTTAACTTTAACTTAACTTTAACTAAACTTTAACCTAACTTTAACTTAACTTTAACTTAAATTTTACTTAGCTTTAACTTAACTTTAACTTAGCTTTAACTTAGCTCTAACTTAACTTCAACTTAATTTTAACTTAACTTAACTTTAACTTAACTTTAACTTAATTTTAACTTAACTTTAACTAAACTTTAACATAACTTTAACTAAACTTTAACTAAATCTTAACTAAACTTCAACTCAACTGCAACTTAACTTTAACTTAACTTTAACTTAACTTTAACTTAACTTTAACTTAACTTTAACTTAACTTTAACTTAACTTTAACTTAACTTTAACTTAACTTTAACTAAACTTTAACTTAACTTTAACTTAACTTTAACTTAAATTTTACTTAGCTTTAACTTAACTTTAACTTAGCTTTAACTTAGCTCTAACTTAACTTCAACTTAATTTTAACTTTACTTAACTTTAACTTAACTTTAACTTAATTTTAACTTAACTTTAACTTAACTTTAACTTAACTTTAACTTAACTTTAACTTAACTTTAACTTAACTTTGACTTAACTTTAACAAAACTTCAACTTAACTTTAACTTAACTTTAACTTAACTTTAACTTAACTTTAACTTAACTTTAACTTAACTTCAACTTAACTTAAACTTAACTTCAACTTAACTTAAATTTAACTTTAACTTACCTTAACTTTAACTTAACTTTAACTTAGCTTTAACATAACTTTAGCTTAACTTTAACTTAACTTTAACTTAACTTTAATTTAACTTTATTTTAACTTTAACTTAACTTTAACTTAATTTTAACTTAACTTCAACATAACTTTAACTTAACTTTAACTTAACTTTAACTTAACTTTAACTTAACTTTAACTTAACTTTAACTTAACTTTAACTTAACTTTAACTTAGCTTTAACTTTACTTTAACTTAACTTTAACTTAACTTTAATTTAACTTTAACTTAACTTTAACTTACCTTAACTTAACTTTAACTTAGCTTTAACATAACTTTAGCTTAACTTTAACTTAACTTTAACTTAACTTTAATTTAACTTTATTTTAACTTTAACTTAACTTTAACTTAACTTTAACTTAACTTCAACATAACTTTAACTTAACTTTAACTTAACTTTAACTTAACTTTAACTTAACTTTAACTTAACTTTAACTTAACTTTAACTTTACTTTAACTTAACTTTAACTTAACTTTAACTTAACTTTAACTTAACTTTAACTTTACTTTTACTTTACTTTAACTTAACTTTAACTTAACTTTAACTTAACTTTAACTTAACTTTAACTTAACTTTAACTTAACTTTAACTTTACTTTAACTTAACTTTAACTTAACTTTAACTTAACTTTAACTTAACTTTAACTTTACTTTAACTTTACTTTAACTTAACTTTAACTTAACTTTAACTTAACTTTAACTTAACTTTAACTTAACTTTAACTTAACTTTAACTTAACTTTAATGTTACTTTAACTTTACATTAACTTCTGTAGGCTAGATCATCTCTAACCTGAAAAAGTGAATATTTATAATATAAATGCAAAATTCATTAATATAAATGAAATATTATAATATAATCCTAGAGGTGTTTCATCATCGAAGAGCTGAAAGCAAGCTTAAATAATTAAAATTCATACATCCCGCATGAATGAAAACTGAAAAAAAGTGCATTATTATTATGTAAATCTAATGTTCTCATATATTCAAATATTCAGCGATCTGAAAATAAACTTATCTTATTTAAAGCAATGGATCTAACTTGAGTGAAGGCTGAGAAAAACCATTACGTTATAAATCCAAAGATGTTCCGTCATCAACGAACTCAAAAGATGTTTCATCATTGAAGAGCTGAAAATAATTTTTTAAAGAATAATATTTGTCGAGTAAAGCTATGCAAATAAAACGGCGTCCCCGAAAGCTGTTTATAATTTTACTTTAATAATGAATCAATAGTCTGAAAAATCGAGGTTATTTGGACAGTTAACAGTTTTCATGCACTTGTTATAATGCATTACAACGTTTTTGTATTTTCCTAAACGAAGGCTAAAAAAGTGAACCATTATAATATTATTCTAAAAGATTTCCATCATCGAAGAGCTGAAAATAAACTTAAAGATTCAAATCAGTAAATCCAGCCCAAACGGAGGACTCGCGAACACAATAAGCTCCCCCATCACTCATATTCCGAATCTGATTAAATGAGTATTTACAAGTATACAATTAAATATATCAACACGTAATGTAATTTTCTCTCCGGGAATGGAAAAATAAAATGGTTAATTGCTCTGTCACATAAACGTTGAACAAACATTAGAGAAAATCAAACAATGTTTCTTCCAGTTGTGTTTTGATCCTGTTGTAAGTAGTTGTTATTGAATATATATTAATAATATAATAGGACCTGTTATTTATTCAAACTCAAACTCCACGGTGGTGCCCTTCACAAAATATGCCTCTACTACCGATGATCTTATAAACCTGGAGACAAAAAAGTTACGAAAAAGCGCTTATGCTTTCATTAAATTCTACTCTTAAGCGACGTTAGTAAAAAATAATAAGATTCTCTTGAATTGGTCGCGTCGCGTTGGCAATTATGCACGGCCCACACAAATTTTAAAAAATGTGCATGCACAATTGTCTACGCAGGGGGGGGGGGGGGGTTCAAGAATCCCAAAATCCTGTCTACGTAGTTAATGAACAGATTATCTCTCGTTCACTCGTTACGTTGCACACAGGGCAAAAAAAAAACGAACTCCCTCCTCCAGCAGGAAGAGCACCAACAACCAAAAGAAAACAAAGTCCGTACCTTGTTTTCACCGAATTACCACCATTTTCGACGGATTTTTCCACGGAAAACATCAAATTATCGGGGCACATTTTGCGACCTGAGAAAATTCTAAACTATTGTCACCCAACAAAAAGATCTTGACTTCCTGAAAAACTTTGCCGAATACATTTACTTTCTATCTGGTCAGGATCTAGAGATATTTTATATGCAAGATCATCTCATCAAGACATCTATAGTAGCGCCGCAAAGTGAGAAAACTCTGAACTACTTTCCACCTGCGAAAAAACCTTGACATCCTGAATAACTATGCCGAAGACAGTACTTTTCTATCTGGTTGGGATCTCGAGATATATCACATGCGAGAATTTCACATGTATACTAGCGCTACGTAGTGAGAAAATTCGGAACTACTGTCCGCCAGCGACAAGGCTGGAACAACTTTGTCAGAGACAGTAACTTTCTATCTTGTCAGAATCTTGATATATTCCATGTTGTAATCAATTAAGTCAAATCCCGCGTAGTATGGTCACAGTTTTCGCGGTTTCTACTTACATTTTCCCTATTATCCGCATTTTTTAGGTGTTTACTGTAATCAAAATTTAGCTGATTTTGATCAAAACAAGTTTTTTGAGGAATACTCGTTGGTTTCAGATCGATTGGTAACTCAGCAACAAAATGGCAATGGAAAACTCATGTGTGTTTTACAACAGCGCGAGTAACGAAGGGTTAAGAGGTTTGATAGGATCAGTTTCATGAATTGACCACTTCTACGGATGATCCGGATCTTCCAGTGGATCATCTCGTAGTTCCGAGAGTTCATATTCGGGTAACAGCTCCGAATTCATTAAGAGACCTATGAGTGGTTTCGAAAAAAAAAACTGTTGACCTCTATCACTTGCATGAATTAACCACTTTTACGGATTTTTCATGTCTTCCGGAGGACCAGACTTGTGACTTTTCGAATGTCAAATCTTGTTAACAACTTTTCAGAAGACACCAGGAAGTTATCTCTTCAAATTACCCTAAAATAAGAGTTTGTCCCCAATTAGCTCTAACCCCATTTGATACGTGTATTCGTTAATGCCGGTTCCTATTGTACGGTCCCTATTAACCGTACTATAGGAATCTTGACTGTACTTTGCTTGTTGGGACAAACTGACTTGTTGTTTTCACTTTTTTCATGATCAAAATCCGTAGTTTTATTACATAATATGCCAATTGATAGTGGATAGCGTTGTTATCGCAAATTGACGAAAATCTGTATGGAACTCATACGCGATTATAGGCAGTATAGCTTTTCTGTAAAATAAGACTCAACGATTATAAAAAAAATCAGTGTAGGATTGTCTACTGTATCATTTTTATTGAATAAAATAACCGTCAGTACTGGTTTATACTTTCACCCACCCGGCGGTAAATTTGACACACATTCTGGGGCATTCTCGTTTTAAATTCCACACACGCATTCCAAACGCCCCAGTCATGTGGCGTGGGCCATGACACATTATATGTAGTATTCTTTTGGCACCTAACGTTTAAAACAAAAAAAGACCAACCTCCTCTCCCTTTCATCCATTTCAGCGAAAAACTACGTCGGAACGAATGGTCTCGTGACCGGCTGGGGCACACTGAAGGAGGACGGTAAACCATCGTGCATTCTGCAGGAGGTCGAAGTGCCAGTCATTTCGAACGAAGTGTGTAGCAGCGAGACGAACTACACCTCATCGATGATTACCGACAACATGATGTGCGCCGGATATCTGGGAGTCGGAAAGAAAGATTCCTGTCAGGGTGACAGTGGCGGTCCACTTATTTCCGAACGGGCCGACAAGAGGTACGAACTGATCGGAGTGGTCTCCTGGGGTAATGGCTGCGCTCGGCCGTACTATCCGGGAGTGTACACCAGGGTGACGCAGTATCTGGACTGGATCAAGGAAAACTCCAACGATGGGTGCTTCTGCAATGAGTGAGGGCCGAATACCAGATATGGGTTGTAGAGTGATTCTAGGGGAAGACGTGTTTAATTTTTATAATTTAATGAAAACAACCGTAAATAACCAGTGTATTTGCGTTGAATGGTAACAGTTATCCGATAAGTCTGTTACTCGGTGTAAATTTTTGTAACTAAAACGAATGGAATGCAGACCTAGTCTCGTGACGAAAAACAAACGTGCAACTCCCCGGGAACCACTCTACGACCCTAAGACGAGTGTAACCAACGAAACATACCCGTGCGTATTGCAATTAATACGACAATGAAACGAAACGAATGGAAATTAATGCAACTCGAAACACGAAAAGACTTGATGAAGCAAATGTAAAAGAGAGAGAGAATGAAATACAGTGGAGTAACCTTAAGCTATATAAGTAACCGAATTAATTTATAGAACTAATGTGTATGAATAAAACAAAAGATACTCGAGATGAACGAAACAGCGTTGTTTTCCTCCGGATTTCTGATTATCGTTCCAAACCAAACCAAAACAATACCGTTACTGCGGTCCAATGGTAGCCAGCGTTGTTCTGAAACCGGAATAAATCGCCCCCATTCCACACAAAGATCGGCTAGGGTGATGCGTGAAGGGAGAAATGATAATTTTCTATCTAGATTCACATGTAACTGCTTCCCACACACCGCAGGCCTTAGGATGAAGGTTGGCAGATCTCTTCAAGGTAAGGAGGTTTGCTTTTTGGGGACATAAAGACATATTCTTTTAAAAAAAAAGGTAACGGCCTTCCGATTATGATCATCACGCAAGCACAATGTTGCTGTCCTCCGGGGTGTAATGTCTTATCTCCCGCCTGCGCGTAAAAGTGGTTATACCTACTGGAAGGGAAATTGGGAAGAGCAAAAAAATATTAAACAATGCTACAGTCTGTGAGCTTCATTCGGGCGATGTGAGTCAGCCCACCAGCAGCGATGTCGGGGATAAAAGTGACAATAAATATTTACATATTTCAGTGGAACGTTATGAGCCATAAGGGACTTGGGGATGGCTGAACTTAAGGTAAATATTTTGGAAACAATGAAAGCATGGTTCACCGGATGGCAAATCGAAATACTGAATCATCTTCAATTTTCAAGTTGGAAGCCGTTGGAGTGAATAAATGTTATCAGGTTTGGGTTTTACTAAAAAAATATATATCACAGTTTCCCTGAGATTTTATGTTTCCTGATCAGTAAGATTTTTTAGTTTGTTTTTTTTCTGTGATTGCGATAAAAAAATAAGGGAAAGTGGGGTAAGATGGACACATGGAGTAAGACGAGCATCGTTTCTAAGTCTATTAAATTGGTAAAAATGCTTAATCACCACCTAAAGACCCACGTTGCCGAAGCATTTACTGTCAATGGTGTATTATAATCACACTAATGTCGCGGATACACTTGGAAGACAAACTATGAGCATGAGCATTATTGGTATAAAATAATGAGCACTGCAAAACAACTATACAAAAACTGTACAAGTGTGACCATGGATGTGCTCATAATTTATTAGATAAGGGTCATAGGATAATGCCCAATAGGATGGGTCATCATGATCATTTTTTCAGAAAAATGTTTTTTGGTTCCATTTGGGGTCCCAAACAACTATCCAAAATTTGGCGACGATTGGTTGTAAAACGGCATTGCGTTTGAAATTTGAATGGAAATTAGTATGGGAAAACCTACTTTTTTGCATCTTTATTACTAGGGACCATAATTTTGCCAAACAACTTTGCTCAAGGATGTATTGTTCTAGAATTCCCCTAAAAAAAGTTATAGCAGTTCAAAGATCAATGTTTCGAATTAAATGCCAAAAATCCCTTTTTCTGCCAACATTGTCGGTGTACCAATGAAAGTCAGACTCCAAACTGAAATAATTTCGAAGTTGATTATTTTATCGGTGTGGTATGTACAGATGTTATATTCAAAAACAATAGATCTATCTCATATGCGTAGTCGAAGGGGGGGGTGTCACTCATATCACTAGAAGTAAAGTTTCAAACTGAAATAACTTCGGAGTTCTTTTCGATTTGGTATCTTCAGAGGAATTATTCAAAAACAATTTTCCAATCCTTTAAATTTGTCGAACCTCTTAACCGAATCCCTTTATGAAGAGCTTTGAGTGGGTTGGTTTATTTCCTTTTAAATTCCGTTATAATTGCTTATCTTTGACAGATACGCGTATTTCGTCTACTACTTGCAGACAGTGCCAAGTACTCATTGTACAATAGCTGCAATTTACAAACCTACGACTGGATGCCATCCTTCAGATAACATGGAGTGCGGTAAAAAATCGGTAGAACTGTTTCAAACACACATTCTGGGGCATTCTCGTTTTAAATTCCACACAAGCATTCCAAACGCCCCACTCATGTGGCGTGGGCCATGACACATTATATTTAGTATTCTTTTGGCACCTAACGTTTAAAACAACAAAAAACCAACCTCCTCTCCCTTTCATCCATTTTAGCGAAAAACTACGTCGGAACGAATGGTTTCGTGACCGGCTGGGGCACAATGAAGGAGGACGGAACTGTTTCAAACACATCGTCGGTATTTGAGCGTGTCGGTGATCATCTCTTTTTGCCAGTGGTGGTTGGGGTAATACCCCTCACCATCCCTCTCCAACGGGGGAGTATGATAAAGAGAGATGATCAAACCAATTTGTACATTCCTAAAGTTGTCCTTGCTTGCTTCCTACTCTCTATATGCAATTTTTACACTGTACTCTAACGGAACTATCAATTCTATACTTTCATCTCCTCATCCATCGTATACAAATTACCACTTTAGTCTTTTATTTGAAAGTAGCATATTCAACTATGTATAGCGTTGGCTTCACGCAGAAGTAATACTAAACATATAGTCAAAGTACTTTACTTCTATTGATATGAGTGAAGCGGTGGGGTATATTATTACCCCCCTCCCCCCCCCCTCCAACTACACATATAAGATAGAGCAATTGTTTTTGTATAATTCATCTGAACATACCAAATCGGCAAGTTAAGAAACTCCGAAAATATTTCAGTTTGGAATCTGACTCCCATTGGTACACCGGCAGTGTTGGTATAAAAATGGATCTTTAGTTTTTAATTCAAACCATAAATATTTGAATAGTTATAACTTTTAACATTATAGTTTCGTACTTCCCTTGGCAAAGTTGCTAGGCACTTTCTGGACTATATTTGTACATACTTAGTTGCATGGTTCATGAAAAATGGTGGTCTCTAGAGATAAGAATACAAATACAAATACAAATTTTAATCGCAAGCGGAAAGCCGACTTAAAACCAATCGTCCCCAAATTTTGCACAGTTGTTTGGGACTCCAAATGGAACCATAAAAGGGTTGTTCTCGATTGGTGAGGTAAAGTTTGCGTTTTTCCATACAACGATGACCCACTCTAATGCCCTTGTTCATAGTTTGTCATACAAGTGTATCCGCGGCATAAGGCTTCATGTGAGATAACATTTCCAACCAACTCTGAAAATCGTAAACTTCACTTATGAAGATCATATTTATCATTTTCAAAGTGTGATGTAGGGGAAATGCACGTAATGCCTAAGTGTCCCTAATTTGGGCCCAAACATAAATTATGCAATCGACTAAATTTTCAATAACAACCAAAAATATCCATTAGTAACGTCCCAATAACGCGTTCATCTAGATAAAAATGATAAATAGCAAATTTTTAGCGATGGGCCCAATATTAGATCCATAGGCCAACATTAGAGACATTTCCCCTATTATAGAGTTTTGAAAACCGGATCTTGAATGGGGTAAGATGAGTACCACAATCTCAGGTAACGTCTTCCTTTAGAAAGGAAGCAAAGCCGTTGGACCCGGTTCATGTGATGATGGACTCGATGTCTAGGTTTCAGGTGTAAAGTCGCTTCCCTGAGCATCGGTGATTGACACTCGCATGCGGAACAGACCCCACCGCACCGATAAACAATGAAAAACCCGAATTTATCCACCTATGGTGTGATCAGACCCTTCTTACTTATTCAAGTTTATTTATTTTATTGTCATTATCAGTGACCAAGCCCCCCACCCCCGTGTCATCCAGTGACGCTACGCCACTGCCTGGGGGTACCCGGAATATATCCGGGTGTAGTCTATTTGGTGAGGCTACCAATCACCTTATCATCGTATTTTAATGTGATTTAATGGATTTTAATTCAATTCATATTCAAGAAACTTCTCCGGGGTACCCGGAACATGTCCAAGTGTGTCCAATGTGGTCTGGAACACTTAACACGACTTGCATTGATCTTATTTTTGAATTCTGTAGTAATTTGATGTGTCGCATGATGGTTTTGATACGTTTTCCGTTAAATCCAGCGTGAAGGCCCATATTCACCGGATCTTATTTCGGCCATATCTCCGGAACAGGTTCACCGATTCCAAAACCGTTCAATGGGACCCCAAGACCTATCATTTGGCGCCGAGTTTGTCCAAATCGGTTGAGCGGTTGCTGAGAAACGTGAGCGCATTCATTTCGTTACATACACACACACATACACACATACACACATACACACATACACACGTACACACACACACACACACACACAGACATGTTCCCATCTCGTCGAGCTGAGTCTAATGGTATATGACACTCGGCCCTCCGGGCCTCGGATCGATAGTCGGTTTTTCAAGTGATATCTATACCCTTCTTTGTAAGAAGTGTAAAAGTTGCAGAACAATCAATTTGAAGCAACTTTGCTGAAGACACCAAATGTCCATCTCTTATGGTTCATGAGTTATGATTTATTTAAACAAGCTGGTTAGGGTGGCCCTTGAAAAATTATTTTCTATGAATATCTTTTCATACGTTCCTTTTTCGTAAAAACAATGTTTAGACACTTTTAGAATTTTCAATGACAAATATATTTTGAAGCAATCTAGTTTCTATCTTTTTTATTGAAAAGTTAAAGGTGGTTTTCTTAAAAAAATGGCACTTTTAAATTGTCAATATCTCTAAAAGGAGCAAACCGATTTTCAAACTTTCAATTCCATTCGAAAGATCGTTGTTTTGTTCACTTATGGTGGGAAAACTGAGAGAGCCATTTTTGTTTAAAGCATTTAATTTAATTTAAAAAAATTCATATTTTTATGCAAAAACTGCCATAACTCTTCAAATGAAGAAGATAGCGTTTTGGTCGCTTTGACGAAAATGTGTGGCATCAAAAGTATGTGGAACAAAGTTTTTGCGAGAAATCAATCTATGAAAAGATAATTAAAGATAACTTGTATTCTACGGCTTACGGTTTAAAATATTTGTCATTAA